TGGTTCAAGACAATTCAATACTGCTTTCCGATGCTAGAGTAGAGCAATGTTATAGCGTGTTCGACTGGCCCTGGGTTAATCGCTCCGAGAGCGATTAATGACGTCATAAGTCTCTACTAGCCAATCATAAAGCTTATCAGTACTTGTTCGACCAATAAACATAGGCTGAATAACCCAGAATGGATTAACCCAGGGCTACTATTCCGTTCCCGCGTACCGACAGTTGTCGAATCGGTAGGCGTCGTTGCGCAGCTTTTTTATACCGTGGAAAAATTGCGCAACGACGCCTATCGATCCGATAACTGTCGGAACCACGGTAACGGAATAGCAGCCCTGAAAGCGGCTACGCCATATGTTTTGGCCGACACCGATTTTCACGTTGTTCGATGCCATCTACACCATTTTTGAGGTGGAACTACGTTCCCTACGCCCATTTTCAGACGCTGCCGGTAAAGTGTCAATTTGTTGCGTGCCCATTCTATGCCCATTTTCTGGCGATTTGTGTCCGTATTAAGCGCATAATTGCATGGTTAAGAACATGGACAGTCCATGTTTTCAATCACGCAATTATGCGCTTAACACGGACACAAATCGCCAGAAATTGGGCATAGAATGGACACGCAACAAATCGACACTTTACCGGCAGCGTTTAAAAATGGGCGTAGGGAACGTAGTTCCACCTAAAAAATGGGTGCAGATGGCGCATTGAACAGCGTGAAAATCGGTGTCGGCCAAAACGTATGGCGTGGCCGCTCTCAGGTTTCTCTCTGATTATATCTATGGTCTCTTTCTATATGTTGGTTTCGGGAGCGATGCACTTGGACACGGTGCATTTGGACACAGCCAATCACAGCACCGTGTACTTAGAGACATTTGTAGGGTCCCTTGGAACAGCGACTTGTGATTGGACTGTGTCCAATTGCCCCATGTCCAACTGATATACACCCGTTGGTTTCATTTTTCTGGCTGTATGCGGGATCCATGCATACATCCATGATCCTAATCTATAGTCTGATACGGGCTTTAAAGCTGCGTTCGGCAAGACGCTATTTAGTGCTAAAAGCGTGTTTTGTCCTTGTTCAACTTTCAGTAAATAACAAGAGTAGAACACGCTTTTGCACTCTTTGCACTTTTTCTCTCTAAACGTATAGTTCAATATTTTGTAAATTTTCACTAAATAAAATTATCACTAAATAAAAATGCATAATGATAACGACGAGAATTTGAACATCGAAAAATTTGATTTGATATCACAGATTTGCATAAATTAGAATCGTAGACTAACTTCAGGGAAAACTGCTTTTTTCTTCTTTTACAGGTGGTTACCCTGTGAGGCCCCGACAAAGTTACCAAAGCACCGATAAGTGTCGATGCGAACTGTCAGAATTTCTCAAATGTCATTACGAGTGTTTCAAGCAATTTTACGCGTCATTTAATGACTTAAGAGGACACGTAAAATCAACGATTAATCGTCTTTTGCGATCGCGTTCGTCGGATACAATCGCCAGATACAAATTTTTTAATTTACATCATATCTTGTAATAAGTTAGTTAACCTGCGTATTCGTATGCAACTATTCGTGTTGTTCGTTAAAATATTCCGCGTTCTCTCGGATTCTTATCGCGGTTATTTCTGCGACTGAATGACGTTATCGCGATACTATGAAGTTACACAATGGAGTTTTCCGAATCGCGTAACGTCGTTAAGGATTTAGATTTAACCCTTCAGCCGCGAATTGTCCCGCGGTACAAGACCTGGCTTCCCCTCGGCACGCAGCAGGTGAGTTGTAAATTAAATCGACAATGCAAAATATCGTTCACCGGACGCGATAAGAGGCTGTTATCTCATTTCTTTGTGATACTTTTTTCAGCTGAGACTCAGAAATCTGATACAAATAATAGGCCATAATCTAACAGGGAATGTAAATGGGGAAGTATGTTGGTTTTATTACACTTTACATTGGACAAGTATGTCATCTCCATTATATACAAGTGAAGCAATCGACAATGCTAATCCGAGATGGGCAAGTCTGGAAGTACCTACTCTACATGCTACAGGTTATTCAACAGCCACTGGTGAGCTTTTTAGTCTGTTAGTACAATAAGTGTTGTTCTTGGCTGTTTCTTGAGAAAAGTATGAGTAAAAGTTGTAGCTTACTATCTTATTTATGATACATTTTACTTTGATATTGTTCAATTTCCATAAGAAATATAAAAGTAACTATTGTATCTTCTTCAGAGATTATTCTAAGAGTTTGGAAGCGTTCTATGGCAGGTGACGCTACAGCTGATGTAACCTTCTTCACATGGGGAATATCATTTACTGGACTAGCCTATATTGGCCCTAAGTTATCAGCAAATCTGGAAACCATCTTGAAAGAGAACTCCTTGATATTCCATTTTCATGGTGGATACTTTGCTCCTGTGTATTGCTTTGTAACAGTTCCAGACCTGAAGCGGTATCTCAACATGAGTATGAATGCATCTGAGGTGAAGAGCAGTTATACTGTGAACAAGCTCAGCAGTCTGAGAAGCAAAATGCAGGCACTAAAGCAACAAACAGAATCAGTACAAGCACTTAGAGTACGCATTGCTTCAGGCGATGATTTTTATACTCCTAAATATCCACAGACAACTTTAAACAGACTATTGCAACCGCGTAAGGTGAATAGGGAGAAGAAAGCTGAAATTATGAGAATACGTAAGGAGCTTGAAATGGCTAAATTTAGAACAAAATTGTTGGAACAAGAGAGAGCACGTAAAATGGGAGAGATTCGTGTACTAAATCAATTACATTCTAACATTGCAGAAGAGAATCAAGATCATGGTTAGTATGACTGAAGCCATCTCGTATATATATACACGATACATTAGAAAATTATCCAAAATAATATAAACGAGAATACACTCTTTCCAGGTTCTGATTTGATGGAAAGATACAGAGAATTGAACAAAGACATGGAAAGACTGAACGAATGGCGGCAGAATCATATAGACACAAGAGAAACTTATTTGCAAATAAGCAGTCATCTTGCACACAGGCGGCGCTTGTTAATATCAGAATTAAGTTTAATATATCCAATTAGACAGGTGGGTGTGATTGACTTCGAATCGCAATATGTTATAAAAGATTTATTTGAAAATGTTTTCACCACAAAGATGAAAATAAGGCAGTACAAAACCAAATATATATTTTGGAAACCTAGAAAAATCTTGTATATTTGCTTTGAGTTTATTTTACATTAACTGAATATTTTACAAATTATATAAGAAAAATGTGTGTTCTCTTGAATGATTTTTGCTTAAGATGTTTAAAGAAAAATTTAAAGTTGATTAAGTAATTTAGGTAAATTATCTTGTTTGTGAATGTAAAGTGGAGTGACTAATACTTGTGATTTTGTAGGAAAGTACTGGGAAATTCCGAATAAACGGTATTCACTTGCCAGACAGTGAAGAATTAGAATTATCCAACGATACACAAGTGGCCGTGGCATTGGGCTTCGTTGCACATATAACGCAGATGATCGCGAACTTTTTGAATATACCGACTAGATATCCTATTATACATTACGGTTCGCGCAGTAAAATTATAGATCATATTACGGAGAGTCTGCCCGATAATGACAAACAGTAAGGATATCTGACAGCTGTTTTTTTACTCGCAAGTGAGATGTATTATCACAAACGCAATATGTTATTCTTAGGTTTCCACTGTTTGCTCGAAGCAAAGATAAGTTGCAGTTTCATTACGCTGTGTATTTATTGAACAAAAATATAGCGCAACTTCGGTGGTATTGCGGCCTTCCGACTACAGATTTAAGAGCGACTCTGCCGAATCTCGCTACGCTAATCAACGTTAAACCCAATCAGAACCAGTATGTAACATTAACTGCCATCTGATACGTCCACCTTTATTATAATATTCACCTGTATTATTTCTCACAGTTTGGACAATTCGAAACGAACATTTTCGAACTCGTCGTTGGACACCGAAGTCGGCAACGGAAAACAAAACCCACCTCTCACGCCGCCACTGCAGAAGATAATCTTCGAGAAATGCCATCGTTCCTCACGATCGATGAGTCAATTGAAAAATATCAAGTCGACGCTCGGATCTTCTTTGGATCAGGGCCTGGACAAGCCCGTGCAGTCGCCCGCTCTGGGCAGTCAATCGAAGCGTATTTGCAAGTCGGAAGAGAGTGCCATTGACAATAAAGCCTTGGTACTAGCTAAGGATAGGTCAAGCAATAGTAGTAACGAGACGTTAAATAGTGCCATTCTGAATAATATTGATAACATAACTCTTAAGGATAATAATTTTGCCGACATTAGCGATAAGGTTGTTATTGAGAGTAACATAGAGATTATGATACCTACGTCGGTTTCTAAATCGAGGAACGTCGCGGACAGCTTGGAAAGTTCCGTGAGCGCCAGGGACAGAAGTTCCAATTCTATAAGCAGCTGCGAGATGGCTCTTAGTAGCCAAAACGACGTGGACGAGAGTTCAAACGACAACTACATGAGAAGAGAGGGAAACGACGATAATGTTTTCTCGGTGGACGATAGTCTGAGAAGTGTGAGAGATGTAATAGATGACGTGTTAAAAGACGGCGAAAAAAGCGAGGAACACAACTCGAAAAATGAGGCTTTGCACAATTGCGACACGAGTAGTACAACCCTCAGTGAGCAGAATAACAGTGTTCACGAACAAAGTCCGCTTAGGAAAACTGCCATTTACAGCAGAGAACGTTTTGCTAAATCTTGTTTGTCTCTGGATGACGTGTGTACTTACGATGAATTAGAACAAAAGGAAAGAACAAACTCCGTTTGCAGCTATCCAGAGGAATGTGCAAAGGACACTGCATTACGGGAAGAACATGGCTCCGAATCCAAGTGAGTAGATATAACCAGATGTAAATCAATAATTTCGAACATTTTATATACATGTAAATGTGGCCATTTTTCCAGATCAGAAAAGTCAAATTATTCGCAACACGTTGAAAAATGGTCGCAGAGTATCGTGGTGAATGAGCCAGTGGTAAATATCCATGTTCTGTATGCATTTCTGGCGATATCGCACTGTGTGAAACGTTAATTTCAAATTTCTAGCCAGACACGAGGTCAATTCTAAGCGCACCAAAGCCGGACAATTATTCATACGACGAAGCAAAATCGCAGTGTGATATTCAAACGTCAAGCGAGTACATAGATATTATTAGGCGTAGCTCGGAAAACGTGTGTGCACGTACCGAAGCTTTAGCCAATAAGAAAAGTAGCTTTAAAGTCATGAAACCGCGTCTTTAATATCTGCCTACGTCGTAAAATTGTGCCCTAACAGTACAGTGTAAAATACTGACGGCGTGTAGATATGCACCAAAAATATCCTGAAGGCGTTTTCAGTTTATATATGATAATTGTGCAACACCTCTCACGTTTACAGTACGACAGAAGTCTTATTAAAAGTTGATTTCACCTAAACTCTCAAAACGTTACAAAAATATTTTTGCCATTTTTTTATTTGCTCAAATCGCAGTAAAATGAGATTTGTAACAAACCACCATACGCCTTACGAAACAGATATAACAACATATTTCATGGTGGACTAAAAAAAAGCCTCTTATGCTTATCTATTATTCTATAAACGCTGACAGCTTCTCTCTCTTTCCCGTAAACGGGTAATTCGGATAACGATACAACAAAGGGATATTAGCGGTTATAATGATACGAAAACTCGAAAGATTATTAGAACAAATAATTCCTCTACGACTGCATACGTGTATATGCGACATAAATGCAGGCGCGTTATTAGTTATATTGCTTTATATATTCGTACGTATGTCATGCACTTGTATGAAACTTTAGTCGAGCGGTAGTCGTGGCCAGTTGGAAAATTCAAATTTTGTAAATCGTACAAATTGGAATTTTCTCAATTTGATAGTACAATGTGCGTGTGTATTGAGATGAGTTGTATTATAATTTGCGATTCCATTATTATATATCACAATGCTCATATTGTTATTGTTTCTCTGTATTAAAGCATTTTGATTGAAAACAAAGATAATATGTAAAGAGTACAGAGTTACATGAGACATAATTGTAAATACTATAGATATTCTAGATTTTTTCACTGTACTTAGCTCACATAACTGACTAATATATTCGGTTTATGTTTACGGTATAAGTAATTGAGCATAGTTAATTATATTTTTGCCATTGAGAATCAATATACCGTGAATTTATGTACGAGGACCAACCAAAGTACTAAACCAGGTTAATTGCTTAACAAAACGATCATGTAAGTAACTAGGTAATCCTAATTAGCCCGTAATATAATTATGTGAACGTGAAAATCGACTTGAGAAAATTGTTCGCGAGACAAAGTTTCACTGTGGAACTTGTTAACAACGGACTATTGCAATGTGATAAATAAAACTTGTCTACTTAAAGACAGAGGAGGAAACAGAAACGGTATCTTATCAATATATGTTTCCTTTATCTTACAATGATATAATTATATGTGTTATCTCCCTGTTACCTAAGCAAGTTTAATTAACCTTTATAATCTATTTATGTTTTACTCTATATTTTTTTTCTTATAAACGCATTTTCTTATAATGCATTTTACATATTGTATCGTTCTTATTGTATATACACATTTCTGATGTCTTTGTTTGCAACAATCGGTAGCTTTTATTTTCACTACAAAGGTAATGCATCCTTTTAGATTATCACAGATTGCAGCTGCTAAGTTTTCTTTTTATCGGGTGAAGAGGCTTCAAAAATCGTTGCTGATTTCTCATATTGCTTAGACCCAATTTGCTAATTTTATCCGTATACTCCGAAGAGCTTGTGAACGGCTCGTACCAAAAGGAAGCAGTCTCTGGAACTGCGAGCAATCATATTTTATATAATTCAACATACGAAATAATATACTAATCGTAATTGATAATATACTAGATGTGTGTAAAAATAATAATACTTCTCTCAACTATTTTCAGTATCTTTTTTTATGTACACACATATGTAGATACTTCTATATATTTCAACAATTTACCTTTCAAGTCACTCATCGTTTTGGCAGGTTGAATTGTTGGTGTTTCCATAGCCGAATATCTAAATCTGATCGGATCTCTATAAACATCTTTCCAATTAGTAGTTGCTGGTATAACAGATCGTTCAATCTGTGAATCTGTCGCTGTCATCAATGGACTGTATTCTACGATGGATAGATCCAATCAAATAATATACTTCGCAATGTAATATATGATGTAATGAAAAAAGGTAGCGCAAGTTTCTTTTTCAGCTTCTATCATTTCTTTCTCCTCTTTCTTTCCGATAGAAACCTTGTGAATTTACCTTTTTTTCCATAGTCGGTCTTGTAAACGCTTTTCATTGCTTTGTTCGTATCGAAGTAATCGAAGGGTACAATGTCCAACGTCGACGATGTGAGACTTATTTTCTCGTGATTGACTTTGCAAGATCCCCGTTCTTTATCAGCTAATCGTTTGTATCTTTGCAATAAAAATATATGTATTACATATAAAGTGAAGTAGAATAATCGAGACGATTAGATAAATGAAATGGTATAACAATTATTCAATGATAAGATTGTTGCTGCTTCTTTTATTTATTTCAAACTGTTACTTCATAATTTTTTAATAAGTCAGTATTTATCACATCATGTATATAATAATTTGCTAATAATTATACAATTTTTTTATTGGAAAATTATTATCTCGCTTTTAAACCTGCATTTGCGCATAATTGATATCATGAAATAATCTGATAGATATGTAAATTTGAAATAAGAATTATTAGAAGTTAGTTATAGGAACTTTGTACTTGCCTAATCTTCTTATATTCAAAGCTATGGGCGTCACATTTGCAATCCTCTAGATCAGATCTCGAGAGGTACAATGGGGCATTGGTATCCATTGGTGATGATGCTATTTTTACTACTTTTCACGAGATCAATTGCACGTGTCGTGTTAACAAAATCTCCGGTATATTCGATATTTTGCCGCAGCAACTTTCAAGAATTTTCTTTCGATAAATTGCAAAATCTGTACCGACAATTTTCAGTAATCCAAAGAGACGGAAAACATTGATTAAATGAAATGAAGTAGCGTTGAGTTCATGTCAGGTAAGGCGGCATCTCGTAAAAGATTACATTTCAAAAATTTTGGATAGATCCGAGTGATTTGATCTTTCACTGGGAAATTAACGAGACAGCTACTCTGTAGAGCGCATAATGAAATATTGCATCCAAAAGCACGATTGCAACACTTGCGACAAACGACTCGAGAGTTTCCTTGACGTCGATCATTTTGCAACTCGCGAATTTTGATTATATCTCGCGCAGAGATAATTGTTTCCTCGCAAAACCGGGTTGAATGGTGCTGATTAACTCGATTAATTTAGTGACTACATATTTTTACGTAAATGGACACGCGACATTTGGAACAAGCCAATGTGCGATCTGAAGTAGCCGATATTGCTCACAAATAAAATCTGAATGTCAATTGTGCATTTCCTTCTGTTACGTTTTCTATACTTTTCATTGATTTCGTTTCTCATGTACCATTGTTCTCTCTTTCTAACGTAGATACGCACTCGCCTAATTTTGAGTGCAACTTTTTAAGATATATATAACCGTTAATACACATTTTTTCCTCTTTTACGTTATTTTATTCAAATATCCGATTTTGCAGTTCAAATAAAGTTATTGAGTATCTAATTGATTGCAGATTTTCCAACAGATTCAACTGGAAGTAATGTACACCGGTGCAACGTTTTTCTTGGGCTGATGAAATTTAGCTTTGATAATAATGTGACCGATTTTGCCAATGCTATCTTGATACTCCGATTTCCAAGCTGCAAAATGTCCTGCGTCATCCTCGCGCTTCTTCCCACACTTCGCTGTCTTTTCTCGTGAAACATGGCGTATTTTGGCTCTCGGGCTTTTGTCGGTACTCGGGGGTTGGGAATGATAAAGTGGTCGAAAGTCAGGTTCTATAGTAATTTTAATTGGCAAGCAACACTGCAGTTGCTGACTGTCCTTCTCGACGATTGTCGACGGTTTGTCACGTCGCGCCATACGTGCGGCTGCTGATGAAATAAAAATAATTTCTTTTTAAACGAAAACGTAAATACAAGAATGTACCAGAAAATTAATATTTGCGCGTACATGCAGGTGTATGTAACAACTGTTAGATTTTTCAAATATTTTTTAATCGTATTTACCAGGATCACTGTAATCCACTTGATACGTAGTCTTGAAACGATTAGCATTCACTCGCGCCGATCTTTCATCGCGAAATTCTCCACACGGATCAGGATATTTCACTGAGGGCTTTAAAAGTTTAATTGTAGCAAAATCATTCCCTCTCCCAGATTTCTACATTACTCATTGATCTCGCTCTAATTTCCTCGGCATAAGCCATTGTTATTTGTGAAGCGTGTCATTAATTATAGCATCAAGAAACAGTGACAAATTTATACGAGGCTTCGAAATATTTACCGGTTTCTTGAGCTTATCTTTGGTGAAACAAAGTTTCAGTGATCGTTCCACACGACTGGTACAACTCCGATCGTCAGGTTCCGCGTACATCAGTAAAAGTTGTTCAAGTGCTTTCCGCGATTGCGTGCAAGTACAAGTGATGCTCTTCGCGATTTGCGGTGGTGGAAGTTGACATGATACTTGAGGCGAAGCGTAGTCGCGTCTATAGGTTGAAACGTAGTGATTCATCTCGATGATTTAATTTTCAAAACGTGGAAAAAAGGTAGCGAGAGCTGCACGAGGATGTCTCAGGAATTTTGAACCATTCTTAGTATGCGTCGTTCCTGATTTTTGTTAGAACAATCAGTAATTACGTGAAGTTCACAAATAACTACCAGTTTATTGGCAATTATTAATCATCGCTGAAAAATCCCAGATGTTTTCGTTTACCTGGTCTATCGGTCACTCATATTTTGTAATGTCCAATTTTGCATCTTAATAATGCATTGTAAGATTTTCTAATTTCCACGTGCAATTCTATGTTCGTATGGGTTGTAATGGGTGTGCTTTACGATCGCAAGTTTACATTTTTGCACTAAAATTTTTCATGCATTTTGAATGATATTTAAGCTAAATCGCTTAGCAATGAAGCCATAATGAAGACATCAATCGATACGAGAAAAAGCGTTTGTCATATTTTTTATTTATGGTCTGCAACTTCGTATAACTCCTTGCTTCACGCAGTTCATTATACAAATTTGAATTGTTTAATGAAAGATTATACAAATTTGAATTGTTTAATGAAAGATGCATCGTTATATGCTATTAATGCTCGTTGCATTAATAGCATATATTATATTAATAGGATACGTAAGGGAAAGAAGAACAATGGCGCTTACTAAGGGGACTGGAAAATCAGATTGCCTGGAAATCGTGCTTTTTTCACAATTTTTTATAACAAACTGAATGAATATGCGAAAGTGTTATTTTGACGTGAATTTATACAACATATAAAGAGAAAAAAAATATAATTTTGATGATCAAATACTCAATATAAGTGTATAGTACATGTAGTTAAAATATATTTCGCTTTTCTTTTCAAGGTCGATATTTTGCAATAATATCTTGACTATCGGTGGTTTAAAGCTGAATTTTAGGTAGAAAATTTTCGTAAGCTTATCGTTATCGTGTGAACCATTATAATAGAAATTGAGTAGAAATTAACAAAATTGCAAATATCTTAATGAAATATTATTAAATTTTCAGTTATTTTATAGTAAAAAAATTAATATTTAAAAATTAAATATTTTTACAAGTTTGTCAGTTCACACGATAACGACAAGCTTACGGAAATTTTCTACCTAAAATTCAGCTTAATTAAACCACTGAAAGTCATTACTGCAAAATGACGACCTTGAAAAGAAAAACAAAATATATTTTAACTACACGTACCATACACTTATAATGAGTATCAAAATTATATTTTTCTTCTCTTTATATAAATACATGTCAAAATAACACTTTCGCATATTCATTCAGTTTGTCGTACAAAAGTGTGAAAGAACAAGCATGATTTTCAGGCAATCTGATTCTCCAGTCCCCTTAAGCAAAAAGTTATTGTAAATGGTTGTGCGCAAATAATTTAAAAAAAATTTGTTGATAAAATGAAAGTCTGAAACTTACCAAACACAATATATTTATAATTATAATATATACCGAATACGTTTATTTATTTTTTAATTATTATAAATGTTTCATTCAATGTGTCTACTGTCAAACAAATATTGGCATTAAGTAGTATTACTCGACAGAAGTGACTAATGATACTCATAGCGTCATGTAATAATATTCGTGAATTTCTCCTCTTCTTAGAGACGGTTATTCCAACTTCTTAGTAAGTTAACTGATAGTTAAATCATATGTTTGTCCTTGTTGTTGCTTCAACTTAGATAAAGACAAATATATGATTTAAATACCAAGTGATATAATCATAAATACGATTATTTATCCCATTGCACCCACTATGAGGTCAATTTGTGTACAGTATGCAAGAATACATTTTATTATTTTTTCCAAATTTTTAATAATTATGTAATAGTTACATTGTTAAGCGAAAAATTATAATATTGGCGTAATGTTACTGTTAGATAATGTTCATTAGGTAAAAGCTTCTGGATTTTTTATCGAAATTAACAAATAATCATCACGGTAAATATTGTGATAAAAACATTAATAACGTACATTAAAAAATTCATTTAGTTGAGCTAACCAAAATTTGGTTAAAATAAGGTAGAACAAATGTTTTGTGAAAATACCAATATTTCGTACTTTGAACCAAAGGTTTGATTTTTTGAAACAAAAATGAAACAGGTTTAGTTTCAGAGAATCAAATCTTTGGTAGAAAGAACGAAATTTTGGCCCTCATAACCGAAATATTTGTTCGACCCTATTTTAACCAAATTTTGATTAACCCAACTAAATGAATTTTTCAGTGTAGAAATCAGTTATTACAACAATTTCCGCATCGGTCACGTGTACAATCAATGAGAAAACGACTTTGGCCCTGGATCGTATAACGTCAGCAGGATAAATAAGCTTGGCTCGGTAAACATTCCAGTTGAGTATTACTGTCCGAGTTCGCGCGAATTATCGCTGACAAAGGCGCAAAGTAGCAACAAAAGATGGCACCGCGGGCTGGAAATTATTGTGCTTGGCCCGGCGCCATTCGTAAGGGAACTTATTCATTTTCGAAAGTCGAACTCGACTGTTATTAATAAGCCAGACACACACACACACACACGCGTGTATTAATTGCTCTATTCTCGAGCCCGATGAACCGAGTTTAGTTCCCGCCATTCCGCGCTCACCGATCGTGTTTGCTTATGTCGACGAAAATACACTCGACGCGTTATTCGACAGGGCCGGTTTACACGAGGCGCGATAATTACCCGAGGAGGATATTCGAGTAATGATCGGGGCGGAAAGTCGATCGGAGGGAGCGCGAGAAACGCCGATCCGATCTTCATCCGTACGGCATTTCTTTTTTTCACCGGATCTTGGCGCCGGTCCAGAGGCAACAGATAGTTCAATGTAGTGCCAGGAGACGAGCAGCCGCTCCGGCCACCGACTGCAGTCGGCGGGACAGTAAGGACACCGTTAGCTTTATTTAGAGATGCGTCGATTAGAAAGCACAAGCGACTTCGCTTCCGGAATCGCGAATTTACATGGCGAGACACACGACTCGACGGCTCAAACATGTTGTCACCGTTTCTCTGTCACGTTTCCATTAACCCATTAGCGGCCGGTGTCTCAGTTATCGAGACGCTTCCTTTTTCATTGAACAAAATCACTCGATGTAATTCTATTGTTATATTTTCAGCACCCCTCTCCCGCCAATTGCAGGTTATCTTTTTTTATTGAACAAAATCACTTGATATAATATTATTTTTATGTTTTCAGCGTCCTCCCTCTTAATTTCAAGTTATATCTATGCCCTCGATGAAAATAAATCGAACGCTAATTTGAGAATTCGGAGAGATAAATGGGGAGATAAGTAGGTCGGTCTTTTAATAAAAAATGTTTGTGAAATAATTATATTTTTAATGGCTGTCTCTCGCGCAAGCTACGCTAAGCTAGTTTCCTTAATTCTCCGTATGAAAAAAATCTTATTAAGGAGATAATAAAAAATATAATTTTTCAAGTAAAAAGCGCGCACACGTCAATGCGATGATAAGTAGCCCAGGCTTTTTAACCAAGCTTCGCAATTATTGTACTAATATCATTCCAATTTCGTGAAATATGAATATGTTCATCTCCATCCTCGTAAACCCCCAAAACACAGAGGGCCGAATCAAAGGACAGCGAAATAGGAGCTTGGAGAACAGATTTCGTATTGTTTTTAGGAGCATCGCAAAGCTCGAGATCGACTCGTGTGTCCCTTCGCGTAGAACCATCGAAATTTTCAAAAGATCTCGTCTCAAGAGTCTCAAGAGCCTCGTCGACGAACCGTCGTCGAACGAGAGTTTCTATTTTTCTTTCTTTTTTTTTTCAAACGAGGGGCTTCAATTAATCAGCCTGCTCGACAATAAGAGCCGCGCAGCCGTAATATTTCCGTTGGCGCTATACTTTGATCTCACCCCGGGATTGCAAAACGATCGCCGGCGGCTTTTAGCCGCACCTCTAAATTCGTCGTCTCCACCATGCCATAGGATGTTGATGCCGACGTGGTGCGAGGGCCGTCGCCACATCTCTAGGCATAGCGAGGCGGAATTAAGGGCGCCATGCTCAGACGGAGGGATGGCGGAATGATCCGATTTAGTCGGCATAAATCATCTCCGCCCCGGCTTCTCTCGTCAACTGGCACGCTCCCGGCTCCGGAGGAAGGAAAGCTCGGAAACAGACTGTACCGATGGTCGCTCTAAAGATATCGCTGCGTCCACGCGGCCAGAAATAGAACCGTGACGTCGTCGCTACGAAAGAAGACGAAGCCGTCGTGCATTACACCGTTTCCCGACGGTCAGCCGATGGGATATCTACACTTTCGCGCCTTCATCACGGACTGACCCTTCGCGTCGCGCCGCGTCTCGTCCCAGTGGAGCTTATTCTCCCTTCGCGGCTCGCAGAGGCTCAAAAGCTCCCACACACAAATTTCCATAATCATAGACGTAAGATGTACCCGGGGAAAAAAAGTTCAGACAAAAGCCAGATATGGATTTTGTCAAGATCTGATCAGATATAATCAGATATAACGTTATATATAATTCAGATCTGTCCACATATAATAATATATAATCATATATACAATTATATGTGATTATATATGATTATATATGAACAGATCTGAATCATATATAACGTTATATCTGATCAGATCTTGACAAAATTCATATCTGGCTTTTATCTGAGCTTTTTTTCCCGGCTTTTTTAAGCTCAACTTGAAAAATCGATCAGGATATTGCTTTATTTTTGCGTATTCTAAAAGAAGATAAAAATAATAGTGTAACTAGAATTAGACTGAGTAATTAGAATTTCAACCGGTTGGATTCTAGTTACTTCTGCATAGCGGTCAGTTTTACCGCTAGATCTATCTTCTTCTAGGATACACAAAACAGTTAACTAGAACTTTGGTTAATTTGAACAGAATTCTGGTAACTTCAACCGGAACTTCCTGGTCCGTTCGCCAGAAGTTTGCTTAATTCAACCAGACGTTTTTTCCGTGTGCTTATTATATCTCGCCATTCGCGATTTTCGGACGAACCCGATGCAAATTCAATTTGCATTAGACGGATGATCGATGGACGGCGCGCGAGGCGGCGACTTCTTACGTCCAACTTTTAGCTAGTAGCTGCCAGGAAGATGGAGAGATCGAGGGCTTGACTATTTGTCCCTGGTGACCGTTTCTATTAAAGTCCGATGGAACCTCGTGGGTGGAGAGAGAGAGAGAGAGAGAGAGAGAGAGAGAGAGAGAGA